TTTCCTTTCTTTTTTTTGTTTTGTTTGTTTTGTTTTTCTTCAAGCCTCCTTCCTCTTTCAGTCTGTTCTGCTTGCCACCACCACCCAGAAAATGGGGACAGGGAAAAATCAAAGGAGGAATAAAAAATCCTGTAGCAAATAAATACTCTAAAATATCCTATTGCACAGCCTCCCTATAAAGACTTCAAGTGGGAGGCAGCCTCGCAGGGACTAACCAAAGCAGATGGGTTGACCCTGGGCAGCAGCCAAACACCCACACAGCCACTCGCTCACTCCCCCTGCAGTGGGATGGGGGAGAGAACAGGAAGAACAAAACTGAAAATGTTTGTAGATCCAGATAAGGACAGTTTAATAAGTGAAGGAAAGAAAAAAAACCCCTAAACTAAACAACCCAACCAAAAAAACCCCCAAGCAATGCAAAGGCAATCACTCACCACTTCCCACCAGCAGACCCATTGCCCAGCCAGTCTCCCAGCAACAGCCACCTTGGAAAACAAAAGCCCCGTCATTCTTCTTCCTCTGGCCCAGGTTTTCTTGCTGAGGTTGATGTTTTATGGCATGGCATATCCCTTTGGCCAATTCAGGTCAACTGTGTCCCCTCCCAGTCTCTTGCCCACCCCCAGCCTACTTGCTGGGGAGGGAGAGTGGAAAAAAAAAAGCAAGCCTTGATGCTGTGCAAGCGCTGTTCAGCAACAGCCAACACACTGGTGTGTTATCAACACTCTTTTAGCCACATAACATGGCACCATATGGACAGCTATGAAGAAAGTTAACTCCATCCCAGCCAGACCCAGTACAATCTCCACCCCTTGCTCCATACCATTTGCACCACACTCAGGCCCTACACTCTCCAATACATCCCCATCAATCATGACCCCCTCCTCGTCCTTTGACATACACACAGACATCATTCCCTTAGTCTGTAGGACATTCCCCAAATGTCCATAGAAATCCAATCAATTCATTTGGTCCATGGCTTGCGCTCCACACAGCAGTTTTCCACATCAGATGGTTTCACACAACGCAACAGGATCCGCTGGTAAACAGAGCACTGCCTTTCACTTTCTGCTAATTTATTGTACTCTTGGGCCTGAGCCACCTCCTCGTGATGCTTCAAAATCTCTGCCTCCTGGCCAAACTGTGATCTCTTCCAGGATTCGTGGGCAGTGGGGGTTCCCCATCTGGGCCCATTGCATGACCAATACTACCCACTTACTCCACGTAGCATCGGTTGCATAAGGTGTAGAGGGCACCTTTCCTCTGAACACCTAGTGCAGCGCAAGCACCTCAGACCCTTGATACCTCCAGCTGTAGAACCCTACAGGTCGACACCAGGTCTCTCCAGGTGTTTTCTGCCAGAGGCTTCAGATGAGGCCATGCTCCCCAGCTATGGTGCAGAGCATGTTTCTCACAGCTGCTCCTATCTGGACAGGCCCAAGAGCTACCACACAAACTATGTCCTGTCTGTCCTGCTGCTGTTTAGGGACTGTGGTGGGTTGACCTTGGCTGGACGCCAAGTGCCCACCAAGCCACTCTATGACTCCCCCTCCTAAGCTGGACAGGGGAGAGAAAATACAAGGAAAGGCGCGTGGGTCAAAATAAGGACAGGGAGAGATCATTCACCAATTATCGTCATGGGCAAAAAACAGACTCAACTTAGGGAAATTAATTTAATTTATTGCCAATTAAAAATCAGAGTAGGGTAATGAGAAATAAACTCAAATCTCAAAACACCTGCCCCCCACCCCTCTTCTTCCTGGGCTCAACTTCACTCTGAATTTTCTGTATCTCCTCCTCCCAGCGGTGCAGGGAGACGGGGAATGGAGGTTGCGATCAGTTCATCACATGTTGTCTCTGCCACTCCTTCCTCTTCCCTCTCTTCCCATACGCCAGCGTGGGGTCCCTCCCATGGCAGACAGTCCTCCACGAACTTCTCCAATGTGAGTCCTTCCCACAGGCTGCAGTCCTTCACAAACTGCTCCAGCGTGGGTCCCTTCCACGGAGTGCAGTCCTTCAGGAACAGACTGCTCCAGTGTGGGTCCCCCATGGGGTCACAGGTCCTGCCAGCAAACCTGCTCCAGTTTGGGCTCCTCTCTCCATGGGTCCACAGGTCCTGCCAGGAGCCTGCTCCAGCACAGGCTCTCCATGGGGTCACAGCCTCTCTCAGGCTGACCTGCTCTGGCGTGGGGTGCTCCATGGGCTGCAGGTGGATCTCTGCTCCACCGTTAACCTCCATGGGCTACAGGGAGACAACCTGCCTCATCATTGTCTTCACCATGGGCTGCAGGGGAATCTCTGTTCTGGTGCCTGGAGCACCTCCTCCCCCTCCTTCTGCACTGACCTTGGTGTCTGCAGGGTTGTTCCTCTCACATATTCTCACTCCTCTCTTCTGGAGGCTGTTGTGCAGCAGTTTTTTCCCCTTCTTAAATATGTTGTGACAGAGGTGCTACCACCATCGCTGATTGGGTCAGTCTTGGCCAGCGGCAGGTCCGTCTTGGAGCCAGCTGGCATTGGCTCTGTCAGACATGGGGGAAGTTTCTAGCAGCTTCTCACAGAAGCCACCCCTGTAGCCCTGTAGCCCCCCCCGCTACCAAAACCTTGCCACGCAAACGCAATACACTTGAAAAAGTTCTTTCAGGTCACTCGATAGAGAGGACTCACAAGCTGACTCTGACCCAGAATGTGCAGTGTCCAGAAACCCACTATGCCTAGGAAAGCTTGTGTTTCTTTTTTGTTAGCTGGTGGAAACTCGACTGTTATCTTATGGGTGACATCTGTGGGGATGCGATGATGCTGATCTTGCCATTACAACAAGGTTGGAAACATCTGTCCTGGAGAAGAGGAGGAAGGTCTCCATGAGACGGTTCCTGGAGTACTGGGACAGCAGCAATGCAGGGGCCAAATGCCAGACTTGGCTCAAGGCCAGTGCTTTTATCATAGGTCTCTCAGGCGAAGCATAACGCAGTGATAAGCGGCACAGCAAAAGCTGACAGCAGCCATTAAGAAGCCCTGGAGTTTAATGTGCAGCAAGAAGGGGAGCAAACAACTCAGCACTGGGACCAGCAACAGCAAGTAACAGCTAAACAGCTGTAACAGCTGTAAATCCAGGCTGGCACACCCTGCCCTCCCCACCCCCCCACGCTGTGTGCCAAAAGGAAGGGCCGTGGGTTGGCCCCACCAGCAGCCAAGCGCCCACCCAGCCGCTCGGTCCCCCCTTGCTCCCACTGGGACGGGGGAGAGACTGGGAAGAAGAAAAGTGAGAAAACCCGCGGGTGGCGATAAAGCCGCTTTCATGGGTAAAGGAGGGAGGCAAGCGCAGGCTGCGATACGGCCGGCTGCTGCCCCGCCGGCGGGGGGGGCCCCCGCGGGGGCCCCCCCCCCCCCCCCCCCCC